CTGTGCCCTGGTTTCAGCAGGAGGTGATGCCTCAGCCACTCGTGCCATCATTGCTCTGCATTGTTTAGCTGCTGCCCTGCACCCCACGGGCTTGGGGGACGGTGGTGATATTCACAGTATCACGGCCATCCCTGAATATGATGTCTGTCTTCTCCTGTTGCGAATGCTTAATCTGAATTAACTAACATGAGCAATAATCAGTTGCTTATGAGTCTGCTTTTGATCACTTGTACAATCATGACTTCATTTTCTTTGGCTTCTCTAGATCGTCTCCAGCAAGAAAATAACAAGGACTCTCCTTCTGGGGAATGGCAAGCCAGCTGGGAAAGGGATGATAACGGTATGGTTACTCCTTTGTCTTACCTACTGAGTGTGTAAAGGCAGATGATAACCTGGGGGCAATGCACGACACTCACCTGGAATCCAGGGGACTGGGGTTTAACTCATGAATGTTTTTCCCTTTATGTCCCATTTTCCTGCCCACTTTGGTCTGTTTGAAGGACAGTTTATTTGGGGCAGGGACCATCTTGCCCAGTGTCTCCCTGGTGCCCAGTGCTGTGAGTCTTCAACCTCAGCTTTGGTCTCTGAAGTAAGAAAAACCTCAATCTGGAGCAGCACAAAGTAAACCCGTGCTGCTGCGGTTTGTTATCTGGTACAACGGTCCTGCTCAGCCCTGCCTGGTGCAGCGGGAGGAAAGAGGGACGATGCCTTTACCGGCAATGTGTGGTTTTGTTTGTGAGAAGAGGATGGGAGCTGTGCCGTAGCAACAACTCTCATAGCAACAGCCGCTGCTCCCGATGCAGACCCCTTCGGGCAGTGGCCTTCCCGCTGCAGATCTCTTTAGTGATTGGGTTTTCTTTTAAAAAAAATATGCTAAGTTTAGGTGCATTTTCCTCCTGCTGCATCTCTCATCCTGTTTGGATCTCTTCTGTGTTATGAGTTTTGCGGGATGCGCAGCAAAGGTGTGGAAGAAGAGGCCAACAATGAGTTAAACATCTTCCATTAGGTTTAAAAGCACTTGAAGGGTTTGAAAGCCCAGGACCTGGCTGCTGCGAGGGCATCTCCATCGCTGTTTGCTGTGGGAAGATGCTGCCAGCTTTTCTCTCTTAATTGCTGCAATTAAACGCAAGAGGAAAAGCCGCAGTGAAGTTCACAGGCGGTGCCTGATGCCACTCCC